AATCATCCCTCAGCACCGACGTGGCCCGAACAACCCAGCCTGGACTGACCTGAATTATCTGACCACATACGCGTTTACACGCGCGGCCTAAGGTGGACGTATGTCCGTTAAGCTTCTCGCAGCCGCTCCTACGAGTCCCCGCGCTAATCTGGGGAGAGAGACGATCGATCAGCGAGCTTGCTCTACAGGCCCTCGTATCATCGTCTTACGTGCGAAAGTACCCGATCCGACGTGTCTGAGCCATCGCTCGCGATATAACGCGCGAATCGCCGATAAATCGTCCCGTGAGAAACCGTGCCGGTCTCGGATATCCAGATTTTCCAGCCAGGGGCGTCAATCGCGCCGCGAAAAAGCCGTTCCGCGCGACAAATTATAATTATTCCATCAATAAACACAGCTATTTGCCGTTAACGCAAACGCAGTCCGACAGGCCGGTTGTTTAACAAATAACTATTCGCCGCGGGTGAATCGGCGCTATTAGACCGACAAAGCGGACGAAATTCAATCGCTCCGGCGAATCCGCACGACCCGTAAACCTGATTCGCGCGACCGTCCAATCGGAAACAAATCCGCGCGACGTCGTTCGTGCTCGGGGCCCGTCGAGGATTATCAAACTGCTAAACGACGTTTCGTTGTCACGAATAATAAACAGATTTCGAGTGGGCCAAAGGCTCTCGCACGCGCAGCGAGTTAGAGCGCGCGGCATCAAACGGTTAATTAACGATTCGAGGAGATTAATGATGGCATTCGAGGACGCGGCCGATGTCGACTCGACAAAGCCCTCGAAATCAAGAGGCTCGCGACGAGAGAGAGGAAGAGGAGAACGAGGCTGACCGAAGGGACACGAGAGAGAGAGAGAGAGAGAGGAAGAATCGAGGCGGGAGGAGATGTTGGTGACGTGGGTGAAGCGCGGTCGACCGTAAACTCGATTCGATACACAATCACAGAGGTGACACGGTCGTCCATTTAATTCCCATCTAATCGCGCTTACATCGCACGGCTCGTAAAATCACGTCGCGATTAGCGCGAAGACGCGGTAACGAGATGACGGATATCCGACGTTACCGAGAACGGCAATGCTTCTGTCGCCTTCGCGAGATTCCATCTGCGTAGCCGAGCGGATCGCGGCTCCCGCTCGCGTTGCGACGACAGGAGGAGCGCCGGGAAGGAAAGACCATCGGGTTGATCGGTAATCGGGGCCCTCCGAGCCGCCGCGCGATGCGTCGACGCGTCGTTACTAAATATCAACGGGTCGCCGCATCGCGACGCGAGCGTGTCGACGCATCCCGATGAACCGTGACGGCACGCGGCGCCAGCCACCGTGACGGACTCGTTTTCACGGTTTTTCACACGGCCGATTCGGTTTGCCGGCACGTGAGCCTGTTGCGAATAAAATCGCGGCAGCGAAAACGCCCGCGATTCTGCTCGGCGAATGAGCGTCCACCGAATTTCGAAAATGTCAGCCCTTGTTCTTGAAATGGTCGCGTATCTTTGTGTAGGTACAATCGTGTCGTAAAATGACTGTATAGTGACACGTATGAGCAACCAGTATTGCTGCATCTCGTTTGAATCTTTCGGTTAGAATTTTCTTTACTATATCACACACAGCGAGCACCCTTTCGATTGAAGCGCGCCGCAGCGAAAGGGTTAACTCTCCGCCGGCAATGTATAATTTAGCAGCAATCCATCGGCAATCTGGGCTTTTCAGGAGCAGCGCGGGTTTTTAAATTGTTCCTTTAATTATATAAAAATCTGAATAAATTCTCGTGTGCTTATATGAGAGCTTTAATAACGAGCTTCTATCGTAGAAGTCGGATCGTATTTCACTCATTTTTTATAGATTGAAATCGAAGCGAAAACATTGAATGAAACATGATTTCGGTTGAAAATTCATCACTTTCGTATGGGTGAATAAAACAAATCTATTTAAGGGCCGCAATATTTGAGGATATATATTGCAGAAAAAAAAAAGTACGAAAAAAAATCATCAACCAGAAGCGGGAACAACCAGAGGCGTTCTTGTTGAAGGAAACAGAATTTCTGCCTCTTGTGCGATTCTTACAATCAAAAATTCCGTTCCCTTCACCCACAAAATGCGTCCTTGCACGCACATAATCTCGCCGTCCCAAAGTATTTTCAGAAGAGAATTAACCGAACCGCTTATCCGAAAATTCGCGATGCAAGAATCGACTACGCCTTCAGATCCCGACATTGCCGGCGGAAGGTCAATTCCCGCGTATCTTCGTATCACGTGCGTGTGAAACGCCCGAGAGAGAAATCCGCCTCGCGGATATTCCACGCTATATTGCGAGGGTAGCGCGGGCCGCTGGTACGCGGATATTCTCCGGTAATTTGCTAGGCAAACGGCGTTGAGGTGTTGGCAGTGTGTAGCGCGCGCAATCCGGCTTTGCGCGGAGCGCGCGCGCCGCACACGCAGGCAAACGCATCTGGCAAACGGCGAGTCGGTGTGCTTCACACGCCTCTGCCGCGAAATATCGGAGACGACGGTCGGGTGGTCCACGAATATTCGCGCCGGCTATACCGCGCGATGTGGTAAATACCATATATAGATCGGGGGGGGATGTACATATCGAGTGTGGAAGCACAGCGCGCGCGACATCGAACGGTCGTTACAGGTCGAACGAAAGCAGCCACAATTAGGCGGCCCCGCGCGCACTTAATCCGCGTTAAGGCCCCGACACAATATTCCGCGTTATTGTAGTAAGGAGAGATAGAGAGACGCCAGCAATTACCGCGGCCGCGGCTAATCCTCGGCCCGCTCGATAGTGTTTGCACGTGCCGCGCGCACTATTCCGTTTGTTATGTTATTCATTAGCTGCGCCTAGGAAGCCCCCCGAATTATACGGGATACTATCCCCTGACTTACGGTCGCCTCCTCAGCCGAGGCCTTTGAGTCGTATTTGCCTACGCATACGTTAAGCGCTTTTGGCGCTTTGACCAAGCGGTGTACCGGCGCGATTAGCGAGCGAACGGACTTCCCGTGAAACCTAAACGCGTCGTGGCTTCCGCCGGATCCGTCCGATCCTCGGCGGCGGCGGTGGATAAAACGTTAAACGGCTTGGAGCTCGTTAGACCGCGATATTCACGTACGAGAATGGGAAAATTGCACGGACCGCCAGAGTGGAGTGCGTTTTAACGCTGCGCGAAAACTTTAAATAACCCGTCGGGTTGCCCCGTTAAGTCCGGATGCTCATATTATCGCGCAAATCCTCTCTCTCTCTCTCTCTATGTCAGCTATTTGGAATTTCGCCCGCGTTGTAATCTATATATCTGTGTAATTACAAGATCGTTAGGCGTACCGTCTGTATTATTGCACGGAAGATACCAGGGCGTCGTGGTGCGCGCGATACGTCTTATCGGAATAACTTCGTTTAAACGTCGGACACGATAATACGATAAATTGGGAATATCGATCGCTGCCAGTGGCAGCGGTGGTGCGATACTGAAAACGATCGAGAGTTCGTACTGGAGAAACGTCATCTCCCTGTTAACGTCGAGGGGTTACGTGCCAGGGTGAACCCAGGTGGGTGGAGAACAAAGAAGCCGGGATTCGATGGACAAAGGGGCCAGAACGGATCACATTCGAAACTCGCGTGTCGCACAGGAATCCGACGTGATCGGGTATCAACGCGACTCACGTTTAGGGTGGAGACTTTGGTATCGCGTTCGCTATTCAGTAGCGTCAACTTACTTGGATAACCAGAAGAAGAGCTACAAATGTCCGTGGACAGGACGATCTCTCGCGATTGTGCGCACGGTGCAATCGAAAATGATGACCGTTTTCATCGTGGTTTGTTGCGACTGATAATTGAAATTAAACGCAGTCAAAATACGATACGGTCAAATAATATGCGGAGTAATTACAAATAGAAATATTTCAGGAACAATGGATAATATTATGCGAGTGATTTTACTTGCCCGATGTCGGTTCTGCGGGCCTGAAAATTGATCGTCTGAAAATCTGTCTCGCGATTCGCAGGTTCCTCCTCCGTTCTCCGTACTTCTACGCCGTGGGTCTTCGAGGCCGACAATAAATAACACAGAAGTGCGGGAAATCCCATTTGCTGTCGATCCATCGAATTGATTGATAAATTGCCTTTATTAGCTCCCGAATGACAGCTCGCGCACGCGGAGAGACCCAAAGATGAAGTTCCTTCTCGCACGGACGATATCTCAGGAGCTAACAATTCTCTCGAAATAAATTTGAAAGGAAATCCCCTTGTATACATATGTTACTGATAAAATAACCGAAGCGTTTTCGCAACTAAAATTAAGCGAGTCAACTTCGTGCGATGTTAAAAAAAAAATTGTCGTTCTATTAACAAAAAGAAATCGTAAAGCATTAAAGGAACGAAAAGTATGTACTTACGTGTGGATTGCAGAAGTCACGAGAAAAGACGAATGGAAGGACTTTCGGGTGTTGGTACAGACGTCACATCGATGGAATCGATCTTTATAAGCGGAGGGGAACGAAGTCAAGACAACATGCCACATGACTTCGTCGTAACAATCGTGCGATAGCGTGTATAATTTCGATTAAAAAATTTGTTATTCTTTGTATTTGTAAAAAAAGAACAAACGCTTCGTCCGGATGGATGAGAAAATTCAAGTCCGCGAGACGGACAAGAATAGTAACACGATTTTACTTAAAACTATCTCGATAAAAAAAGACTATTTTCAATAATTTTGTAGTATACAATCAATTTCTTCCTCGTTAAGATAATGTAAAGATCGATAATGATTTCATCACAGTCTGTCTTATTGCTATGAATTTCTTAACTGCGGTCCTTTTTTCCATAAGGATTCACTAATTCTACCGAGAAGTAACAGGAAAGAGAGACAGAGACAGTCGTAGAGATGCAATAAGAACGAGAAGAAGAAGAAGGGCGTGATAGATAAAGAATTCTACGAGAGATAGAGGTAAAATAAAAAAGGAGAGAAAACTAAAAAAAATGGCGCATACGGGAGAGCTCGCGTACCTTCTGCCCGCTGTGAAGAGTATCTCTGTAAAGTAAAACAGAAAAGAGAAGAGTTAGAAAGAGTGTATACACAAATACGATAGATAGATAGATAGATAGATAGATAGATAGATAGATAGATAGATGGATAGATAGATAGATAGACAGATAGAGATAGATAGGTAAATGTAACAGACAGAGAGAACAGGCATGGGTGAGACGGGATTCTCAGTCACTCTGTACAGTTTTATATGAATAAAGTCCATAATAATGTGAAGATAGACATATGAGAGAAAAAGACCGAAAAAATATTGATGATAAAAATAAATAAAAAAAATAGCACGCATACAGATAAAATGGCGAAACGGAAATAGATCAATTCAATTTCGGCAAAATAAATTTCGTCGATTGAACGATCTCGAACGAAATCATAAGAGTCATGACAGTCCATGTTTCCGGCAAGATCGACTCGTTAGGAAATTCATGTGCCGCGGCCTATTACAAGTATTGCGTCTAAAATAAATCGTTAACGCATACAATTCCATCAACTCGTGAGAGGTTTGATGAAAGAAACGAAAACGGGATCGTACGTCCCAGCAAGAATCGTTTATTCAATCTTTCTTTACAACTGCTGAACTGAAAACGACACACATCAATCTAAAACTACCGGTCTTAGAAGTGGCTCCTTCCGTCTCCGATATCGCCGGCTGCAACCATTGGTCTGAAAAAAGTCGAGATTTATGGAACTGAAAATAAACCGAGACAGCAAGCGAAACATTCCGTGCAACGCGGAGACAAGCGTGTGTGGGGATTCAAAGGGACACGAGGATGCTTCTTTGCGCTGCAATTTCCCGTTACTCCGTTTCTGCAAACGCAACAAACATCCGACACACACATGCAGACACACGCGCGCGCACACACACATATGCATGCAGCAACGAAAATGCAAGCGACGAAAATAATCCTGCACGCGAAGCGAATCGCGACGGGGAGGGAGGCGAATAACCTCAACGCCGTTCTGCGTAGCTCGGAATTAATTCTAATTGGAAGTACCACTTCGACCAAGAGAAGCGCGCCCGCGCTCTCTTTCAGCGTGATTCGGTCCGGCGAAGTTTTCCTCCCCTCGAGTACGATTTACATAAGCCACGGTCGAAGTTCGACTAACTTCTTCTTCGCTTCGCGCGATCCAGCCGATTCTTCGGAAGGCTCATCATCGGCGCGCGAGCGCAACGCGCGCTGATTTAATTCTCGCTCACTCGCCTGCGTATCGCGTGGGCGACGAATTCTAATTAGTCAGCACGTCGGCGCATTATCAACCCTTCGCGAATTGTGCTGCCTGCCGGTCCACGATAACGCGCAAGGGTTGCGAGCGGACGCGCTGCCGAGAGAGCTAAGCGGAATTTCGTCTTAGGACGCGAACGACGAGTAAACCGCGGCTCTAAACTCGCGTCGTACAGTTTATCCCGTCGTAATGGACGAGGAAGCCGGCTCTTTTGCCGGGAATTGCGAGCAACAGAGAGCGCCGAGGAACTTGAAGGTCGAGGGGTGGAGGAACTTATGGAAAATAGCGCGTATCACTCGGAGCGTCGCGTGAATTAATTAATCGAGGCGCAATTAGCGGCTTGCGTGCGACACCGAAGTTCTCGGTAACGTGAGTAACGAAGAGAAAATGCGGCGGCCCCGAGGGAAAAATTGCACAAGGTCGCGGAATAACGCCTCTCGGCGGAAGTAAATCGCAGGAAAATAACCGCGTCGTAACCGAGGAGGGCTGAACTCTCCCCCTGTGAGACTTCTGCGGGAGATCGCGAGGTGCGAAGTAACGCGGAACTTGGACGGATGAAACGTGCGAGAATGATGGAAAGCCACGGTAATTAGCGCGCATTACCTGGAGTATCATTTAATCGATGCGCCACGCGCGGAGCTAATAACGTCTCCGTTTACAACACGCGTCGACGCGGACGGGAAATTCGAGCGCGGGGGAAAATTTCACGGGAATTTCACAAAAATCGCCCTCCGACGCGTCGACGCGATACCACCGTTAATCTCTTTCCCACTCGATCGGCGGTATTGCTCTTGAAAATTCGCCGTTTGGAAATTGATATGGGGCGACACGTCACGCGCGCGCTCGATACCGCGCGTGATGAAGCCTCGCCACCTGAAACCTTATAAACTATTATCACTGTTGCCGGAAGTGACGAGAGAGCGATACACTAATACGACGAACACGGTCAATGGAATAACAAATGCGGCGGGCGCAGCAGGGACGGCGACGGCGTTACCTTGCCGCTGATACAACGTAGATCCGAATTTGTCGATAGTGCCGATGAAGTGTCCATTAATTTTCCATAATTACAAATAAGCTTAATGGGATACGCGTTCCCGCGCTATTTAGTCCGATTATACGCGTGCTATAGCTGTGAGCAAACATCTCGCGTGAAGGACCGAATCGGAGTACACTGATTGCGTCGCTCCCTTACTGCGCGGTATCATCATCGATGTTCCGCGCGTCCGTACACGCACGCACTCACGTACACACCCGTCCGAATACCGACGCGGCCGAGCGGCATACATTATTGCATCAATTACGCTATTAATTAATGGCGTTAAACAATGTCAACAAAGCGACGGGGCTGCGATGACGCGCGGTAACTCACTTACAGAAGCGTGAACCGCGCAACGTTGTTCGAGTAAAACTTGTAATCTGTTACTTTCGCGCTTAACGTTGCCGTTCTCCCGCCTCGGTACAATCGGGAACGGTTTATCTCCCGTGTCGAGATGTTCGGAAATTTTCACACAGGGGACATCGTGTCCGCCGTTCTCTCTCTCTCTCGATTCGTACGCTCGCGTGTGTACATGTGTACGTAAGTACTCGCGGAAGGTGGTTGCACGTGCTGACGTGTAGGACGTGTTTTGCCCGGGCTCGCGTACGAGCGTTCGCACACTCGCAACCACTCGGCGCGCGCGCACCACATTGAAATTGGCACTCGAAGATACCGTGTGTATGACGTTCTCATCGACTGGATGTGTGTGTAATCCTTGTCGCGTGTGCGCGCGCCGAGTGGATGAGCGAGGCAGCAGCTACAGGTAAATGTAATTAGGGATTGATCGAATGGTAAGCGCGGGACTGTCTAATTGCCCGAGCCGATAGCTCTCTTCCGGCGGATGTTCGGCCGACGAGAAAGCTCGTAGGACTACGAATCGCCGGCGCGGCGATTGGACTGCGCGCGCGACCGGCGGAAGCGGCTCGTAAGACACGGGATTATGATCCCTGACCCCTGGCCGAGCGCGATCTTTCCCGCGAACTCCGCTTGTATACCGGGTGTATTCTGCATCGACGTCGCGATCGTATCCACGTGGACACGCGGCTGTGTAAACCGCGACCGAGATATACGAGGCGTCTCCGACCTCGAAATCTCTAAATTGAATCCGCGACTCGTGGCGACGGCTCCGGTTAACGGAGAGAGAGAGAGAGAGAGAGAGAGAGATTTTGCGACGCGAGTAACGCATCGCCATCGTAGGCGGAAAAGCAAGAGCGAACGGTGAGGATAGACGCCGCTAAAGCGTGACGCGTGAAATTTCCATTTAAGCTGCGAACGTCAAAGTTACAAGATGGACGGAGCATCGTGAGCGACTGTCGATAGATAGGGTACGAGGACAGAGACAAAGCGGCGGAGTAGCGGAGAGGGACAGGGCTGCATGAAGGGAGTCTCGGGGACCAAACTATTGTTGCCAATATCTCGGACAGTTCAATTACTTGGTTATTACGCGCCTCCAAGCTGACAGGGTTGCTTACATGCTTCGCCAAGCGGCTAATGCATACATGCATGTACACAAACTGCACTTATGATGACATTTCGCGTGATCTCCCTTTCCCGTCGCAGAGCGATGGCAAACACTCCACCGTCTGCATCATCGAGCATTAATCCTCCGTAATCGATGGCGCATTTATGGTGCGAGAGTCGCTTTACGTTTACGTCACCGTACGCTCCGAAGGCACTAATCGTTTCAGCTCGTGGAGACGCAATTATCCGCTAATTAAATCGATTCGTGCAAACGGACAGTTTCAGTGCGAAAAGCAGAGACCGCCGAGTATGTCACTCGCGTTTAACCGTCTTGACTATTACGTAAAAGCCGTGAAAAGTTGTATCCGGTCAGATGTCTTCCCGGGAAACGCGACTGCGCTTAATTAATCTTAATTCTGAGATACGTGGATATTTTAATCGTACGAGAATTTAATGCCATGCCGGATACAAAAATCTTCGAACGATTTTTCATCTCTTCCGTCCAGTTTAAGTTCGTAATGGGTGGGGGAGGTCGAACGAAAAAAAGGTGGTCAGCGAGAGAAACGTTTCGCTTGAAAAGCGAAGAGGGAAAAGAGAGATCTCCCGTCGCGAAATATCCATCACACGGCGAAAAGTTGGCGAACCGGGAAGTCTCATATACCCCGAATATTTTATTCTCTGGCAGGACTCGGCGTAATTCGGGCCAAGACCCGAAACCACGTTTTGCACTTCGTTTTCATTTAATGGAACCGACGCACCGGCCGCGACGTATAACGATTGATATTTCGGTTAACCGGTGCGGCCGATGCACGTTGATTGGAACGAACCCTTTTTTTTACCCGCCATTCGGCAATAAACGTACCGGCGAAATGATTTCAATTTCACGCGAGGCGAAACGAGCAACGAGCGGGAGAACGAGACGGAAAGAGGGAGAGAGAGAGAGAGAGAAAGAGACGAATTTTTTACTCGCCGTAAAAATCAAATGCGGAATTATTAATACAACGACGCGCAGCACCGCCGATATACGTGTCGTGTTACGCTTCCAGCTGACGTTATTATTCCTATAATATAAAGGGCGTATCGTCGCGCGGCGCAATAACGAGTTACGTACGTATGCAGACGTAAACGCGACGAAATTTCCGCACACCAGCGTCGTCTCGCGAGAGATTCCCGACGCGAGCCGGCATGAAGAAAAGCGGTATCGGTTGAGGGATCGCGATTTTCACAAATCCGCGAAAGCAACGAGAAAGACGGCCGAACGAGG